TATCGTACCCAGGCAGGATTTAGCAGTCCCCAGACATCCATAACTGTCTGTTGATGTCGTGACAATGACTTGTGAAATGCATGCTCAGGGGAATGGAATAAACTCGGTAACGTAGCTCGCAGTGAAATGAACGTGTCAGATTTGTCCCGGAAGCCATATGTCATTGTGTGTCACAATTAACATGCCATGTGACAGTGACAAAACTTTCCGCCGCCCTCACGGCTGCTGACCATGTTCATGTCAGCACCTCTCCGTTTCCCTTGCCTGTTGACCAAGGAAGTTAAACCCAGTAGGATAACCATAATAGGATGCTGTTTAACGTCTGTATGTTAACGTCACCACTACACTAGGCCACATATTGCGCTGGTTTGGTATTCTTCGCCCAATGTTATTACATGGTGTGGCGCTTGCTACCTGTCAGGATTGTCCTGCAACAGTGGCATGCCACAAGTTCTCGTGTGGCCCTCGAATTGTACAACGACTCTGAGTTACTTTTGATATGGATTTTGCAGTGGGGTGAATTGGCAGATTTCAGTCGCTAGGATGACTCACTTGCTGTCCAATTACAATGTTAAACTTGTAGACTGCAACATGCCCTCGCATTTGCAGCCCAGTGTGGAAGCGATGTGTATATGGAAACTAGTGTTTTGTGGTACAGCTTTCTGTTTTTTTTGTTCTGAAAGACGCCACCAGGAAATCCATTCGTTTGAGTTGTATGACCGGGCCACTTGCTCAGCTCCACGGCTAAGCCAGAGGATGCAGAACGATTGAGTTGCATTCAGCTTATGATCCCTAAAACCTTTATTGAAAAAGACTTGCTCGTCTATTCAGGCACTCGACGAGCTACGAGGTCAACATTCGTTAGGAGTCCGATTTTGACACCCACTCAAACACTGAATACCAACAGATGGCTCAAAACGCCTTATAAAACTGTGAAAAATTGGAGGCAGCCTAAGCCCAATACGGCATACACCAGACTTCCGACACATAAGAGCAAAAGATGTGCTGCTGGAAGTCACATCAGATCAAAAGAGGGGCAGCTGGAAGACACATAAGGGCAGACGACGGGCAGCTGGGAGCTGACTCTTAGTACAGTTTGTTCGCTCGTTGACGGTTTATGGACGCTTCAGTGTGCTTCGACCATGAGGCAGGTTTACAGTCATGTCAAAAGAGCATGTGGATAAATACACGCCAAGGACCATTCGGTGGCAGGTGAAGTCACATGTCGTCAGCTGTCACACGTCACCAGCTGATCCGACACCCAGTGGCGTAAAGAGTTCGTTAAAGCTAAATCAAAGAAAATATTCACCGTCACAGCGGTGTTCTCTGGGAGCCTTGGCCCACTGTAACAGCTGAATACACTGACTGCAAACATAAAGTGCACTATTCGTTAGCATTGAGCACGACGCGTGAAGTTGACATCGCTTCACTTAAACTATGCTTCCCCACCGGACCAAGGTTTCAAAAGAGAGTTTTCACCGTCGCTGGTAACAGAGCAAACATAAATGTACATCAAACTGGCCTGGCGTCAGGTCGGCACATGATATGTAGCTGTCAAACAGCTCAGGCGCCCAGTGATCGGACCCTGGCCGCGGCCTGTACAGCTGTCCTTCTCATAGCTCAATGCAAACACCTTAGTGGGTCCAACTGTAAAGTCGCTGCTGGTGATGCCGGTCGGCATGGCTGCCACCGATCGTTCGCACCCACGCTCATTCCAGGCCTGTTCTGTTGTGTGGGATCCATTCTGTTCCTGAGTTAATATTCCCTGCTACAGCTTGCCTCCATCATATATTCAACAAAGCTCCTACTGATATCGGAATTAATACAGCGCGCCCGCCGCTTGCACGGCCGTCTGATGCTTCTCAGCCGTCACGGCTGGTGACACTCCGGGTCGAAATCGCCCCAGCAGACCACCACAGCTTCGCAGTCCTCACGCTGGTGGCAGGCCGGGTCGAAATCCGCCCCAGCTGACCACCGACAGCTTCGCAGCCATCACGGCTGGTGGCAGTCGGGGTGGAAATCGCCCCAGCAGGCGATCACAGCTGGTGGCACTCCGGATCGAAATCACCCCAGCAGACCGCCACAGCTTCGTAGCCATCACTGGCTGGTGGCAGGCCGGGATCGAAATCAGCGAACCACCGTTGGTTCCTCCGGACGGAGCCGCCGCACCTGACCACGGCCGACACACGTCAGACCGCGCTGGTGACGTCACAGCGCACGTCACGCCCGTCAGGAGCAGTCGCCTCGGCGGTCGCCCCGGGGCACGCTCGGAAACAGAAGACTCAGCTGTTTGGCGAGGGTGGTGAAGACAGTGTGGCGAATGCAGCAGCAACCACATCGAGTGTCGTTCACATTGTTCCGTTCGCAACCCGCTGAATCATTGATTCGTTGGTGCTCGTTACCGCCATTTCGCTGCGTGAGCGTCCCTCAGAATCATTTCCTTGTCCAGCTCAACGCTAATGCCAGCTGGAGTACGGGAAGGCTCCAACAGACGTATGCGTCCGGTTCACGTGTTGCGTTGCTTATTGTGCGCGACGGCAGAATGTCACTGGCGTATGTACTCGTGCTACACGGTCTGATTCTACATTAGGAAATTCAGAAGAGCTATTTGCCAGGCAGAACAGCCCGGTCGTAAAAGTCGGGGTAGCGGCAAGTCAACTGCTTGCTGCTCATAGCGCCAGTGCGGTCCATCACGCGCCCTGAGCCCAACATGAGGAGAAGGGGAAGTCGGTCGCGTTTACAGTGGTGTAGCCAGAAGGCCGCATTCCTGGTGTCCTGCGACCCTGCAAAAGCTAGGAAGGGCAACGATGACAAATTGGTATTTCTTGCATCAAATTTTCCAGTTGGCACGGCACCTTTGGATTCTCTATCCTTCTGTTCAAACCCGTCGTGTGCCACTGCTATTCAATGCCGTCATTTCCTTACCGAATGATTTGTCGTCAGGCATATCAGTCGGACATCCGTTTTCGCGATGTGACATCTCAGATGAGGTCGATGCAGCGTTTCAGACGAGATGAATTTGGCGTTTCAGACAAGATCGATGTAACGTTCCAGAAGAGATTGATGGAGCGTCTCAAACGAGATCGATGTAACTTCTCAGACAATATCGATGTAGCGTCTCAGACGAGGTCAATGTAGAGTCTCAGCCGAAATCTATGTGCCGTCTCGGACGAGATCTATGAAGAAACTATCACCTACCGCAGGCCTAGTATGGATTGTTTGCCGTGAAAGAATGTTTGCCAGCGGACGAAGATTTTTCACTCAAAGATGAAGAACCCCTGGTGTCCTTGTTTCGAGACATTTTTCGAATCCCCGGTGTCCCGGGCTCTGCACGGATTGAGTAAATTAAAACATAGCTTGCGTTTAAATCACAGGTGTTGATTTGTATTCTTTTATGACAGTTCTGACCCCCTCACCCTAATGTTAAGCTGGCTTGAATATAATAAGAATGTAAGAAAAAGCTGGCAATCACACACAACCATCATATTTGCTCGTTCCTCGTAATGGCGTTATCATGGAGGATACAATGGATTGACTTGACCCAGCAATTCAAAACTATTTCCTGATATGGGAGATGACACAACACGTCGGTAAAGCATTTTGTAGTGCGACTTTTATTCTTCCACCTTAAGCTTAGGTGCTTTTTTCCCCGCAACATGAACTTTAAACTGACGCCACTGATTCAGCGGTTTCATGGAAGCCCTTTTGTGCCAAGCGACATTTTATTTACTACCGTGGAGGTTTACAAATCTAACATTGCTTCACGTAACGTTGGTACGCGAATTCTCTGCTGCACGGTTTGATGAGAAGACAACACCGGGTAACGGAGTGATTTCATCGGTGCAGCGACGTTAATTCATACCACAGTTCCAGTTCAGCGACAAAGAGATAAACAGCCCTAAAACGTAAATTTTGCTGTCGAGGAACTTTCACCTGTCTCTGCGCTAGGCATACTTGATTGCTAGCATTCCGTACTCGCAATCCCGTTACTGTAATGCATGTTCAACGACTCAATTTTTTGTTTTGGTGAAGAAGATGATGCGCTGCGTAGAATGTGGTGGGCTGTAGGATGGTCTAGGATGTGACCACCTTTGAGAGGGTGGTGATGCGCTGGATGGGGGGTGCTGGTTTAATTTGAGGTGTGGCTGTTTGTGGGAGGGTGTCAAAGAGACATGAACAAGTGCCAGCGATAATGTTTTCTCCGAGTTGACCTTTAAACGGTTTGTTTATCCACATGAAACCAGGCATCATCGTTCTGGAAATCAACAACTGGGCTTGCCAGGTCGCATAAGATGGAGAACGCCCAGACCTTTATGGGGGCCCCTGTTATGGAGTACCAGCAACTGCAGAGGCCATGTTAACGCCCGGTGACGTGGCACAACTTAGGCCTGAACTCGGACGTAACGTGGGAGCCGAAGGTGCTAACCAATCGACCATGACGCTCCCCCCTTCGCTGTTAGTTGCTGGGTGGAAAGGACATTGGAAAGGTCATCCTATCTGCTGCTGGTCGACGCTTCCGAACGCAACGGAGACAACTTGTTCGTAAGAAGAAAAACAATCGGGCACTCTAATTCACCGGAACTCCAGATAGGAGCTCAGCCAAGTAAAGGTCGTCTAGCTAGCACAAATCCCTACAACTCACATCAGCACAAGCAGCTTGGAGGCTCCGCGGGTCTTTCGGCGCTAATTCCTATCCTTTATCTTCAGTCGTCAAAGAAATTCTGTCTCCAGGTTCCCGCACCCCGACTGGTCCCCAGGGGACCCGCCCGCACTTGCAAGCTCAGGGCCCCGGGGAGCTGGCGGTCGGAAGCGGTGCAGACGATATGTCCCGTGGGGGGGGGGGGGGGGGCACCGGTCCTAGCTGCAGGGTTGTCAGTGATTGCAGGGTCCCCATAGCAACAGCTTCGCTCGTCGCCACCAGAGCGCGTTCCACGCATCCCAGACGTGGTCTCGGGGCCGCGGCCGGGCGACGGTGGCGCCTCCACCTCCGCTGCGGCCACCGCTCCGGTCGGCTTCGGAACGTGGCCGGCTTGGTCAGTCGTCGGTCGGGCGGCTTCCCGAGGATCGTGATGAAGGCGTGGGCGGTGCTGCTGTTGACATGCGTGGCGGCGGCTGGTGCATTGAGGACAGCTAAACAGTAAGCCGATGTTGCGCAGACTGGTACTGCTGAATGTACATGCGCCCATTGCTGAGTGTTCCACATTTGCATGGGGTTTGGAACTGAAATGGCCGTCTTAAAGATCATTCGGTGCAGTTCAGAACCATGCCCTTCTTAAGACCTAAACCCCCCTCGTTTTTTGTGCAAGGTACTATGACGCAATCAAAACTATGACACATTCCGGAACATATTTGGTTGCCATGGAAATTGTGTTATCTAGAGCGGTCTTTTCGACTTGAACGTATCCCAAAAGCTGTAAGTGAGCTTATTTCATGATCTGATGCTTACTTCGATCGGCAAAAAATACAGTTCCTTGAAGAGCCTGTCAGCGCCCACGTTCCGCCGCCTATGATCCGACTGCAGCTTTCTGTTCAACAGAGATGCGGGCAGGATCTCTGCTCCACAAAGAGGTGGGCAGGATTTCTGTTCCATAGAGAGGCGGGTAAGATCCCTGCTCCATCGCCTATGATCCGACTTCGGCTGTCTACGCCACTGTCCGTTTTATACTTCAATCATGGTTCCGTAGGCGTCCGGTACCTCAAACGCCTACGCAACGCGCTGTTTCGCGGTATGCGCCGTACCTATATTGCTATGGATACGCCAGATTCAGCGCCGTATGCCACTTACCATCCTGTTTGGGACTCTACCTAAGAAGACCGTCGCTCTACTCAGTCCCTCTACCGGACAGTGCACAACCTATGATTCCACCCAGCCCCTGACTGCTCCCATCACCCAACCAACCCGTGACTCTACCCAGCTTATGACTGCACCGAAGTCGTACTTACACATGACTCTACCTCCAAAGTCTCCTAGATCATTCTGCGCTGATTTCGTTTGTGGACTTTGCCTGTCAAATCACACTGAGATGGGCTGTTTCCTGCCACGGCGGCCGTGCGAAGCGAGACAAAAAAAATGGAGTTTCGAAAAACAAATCCTGCTGTCCATCGCGATGCTCTGCTTTGAACTGGTGTCAGCCAGGTCAGGTCTTCACCGCGATGCAACCTCCCCAGACAGGCCGCTGGGCCGTGAAGTGGGCTGCTAAGGATCTCGTGATTGGGAGATTCTTGCTAAGAACGCTCCGCTCGGAAAACTTGAATTCAGATACGCCCGGACCACCACTTCTGAATAATCATTTATGGGCGTTTCTCGGGCTCAGATGAGAAACGAAAGTCGAGCTGCGACTCTCCCATCGATTAAAGCCCAATACGCCAAGCACCAGGCGCGCTCAGAGCGTACCGGTTCATCAGGACGCGCAAACAGCAGACAGGCCCATAGGCACCCCTCAATTTCAGATTAACGCGCTTAAGGCATCGCCACAGGGCTGATGATTGTTGGTGGTCGCAGGCTGTTGATGCTTGCGCAGGAAGTTTGAGCGTGGTGAACTGCTCTGACAATGTCCCGGTCTTTGCCTGCGTCCCTGCCCTGCCCATAACCCTGTACCTGCCCTGTCCCTGTCCCTGTCCCTGCGCCCGCCCTCTGCCCCTGTGCCTGCCGCAGCCATTGTCTCTGTTCCTATACCTGTCCCTGCTTCCGTATCTGTATCTGTATCTGTATCCGTATTTGCCTCGGTGTCCGTATTTATATCCATCTCTGTATATGTTTCTATATCTGTATCTCTCCCTGTATCTGTCTCTGCATCTATCGCTGTGCCTGTCTCCATATCTGTATGTAGCTATGCGTCTCTGCCCCTTCCTCTGTTAATTTCGGTCATGTCTGTTACAACCGAGGCATCAAATCCAATCGTAGCTTGGAGTACCCGCGTGCCTGATGCGGTCTTGGTTTCGATGCGTTGTACCACAAACTGCCACGGACCACGTATGACAATGCGCATGGTCTTGATGCGCCATAGTGAAAAGCCAAGATTGTTGTGAATTTTCGACGGTATCATTTTGCCTTTCATCATCTGTGGAATGCGTGGGATCATGAAGCGTTCGGGAGGGCCCGAGCAGGCTGTTTTAGACTCATGCCAGCACCAGTCTGAGCAACACATCTTCAGCGGTCATGTTGCGTACTTGGATCGCATTGATTACTCTTCCAAATGTAATCAATGCGGTCCGGTCGCCTGTGCTCTGGTCTAGATGGCAACGACCCCCGGAGCAGCCCGCCGTGCCGAAAATGGCAGCTTTTATGTAATGAAATGTGGGCAGATATAACCTGAATAAAGTGTGCCTCAAGCGTGTAAATATTGACGGACAAATCCGCCTGGAGACTAAACAGGGAGCGGCGCGAACGCTGCAAAGCTGACGACGGCGCGTCGGATGGGCAGAGATGACCGTGACCAGGGTTGTAAAAAGGAAGCAAACTTGAACGAAAGCAACAAAGTCCGCGAGTTGCAATCATTTCAATGATCTGGCTGATGTAATTTTCCATTCCTCTCATTAGATCTATCGGAAAAATTGCCTGGCTAGATGCCGTTTGTGTTGACGCGTCGATTTTTGCCAGATGTTCCGTTCGTCCTAAGCTTCAGCCGGCCCAGTTGTGGTAGAGGACCTTCCAGGCGTCCTGTGCGTCTCATCGGTAACGTCATCCCCTTCCACAGCGGCTTCGTCTTAACGTCGTCCAAGGTGCTGCGGGCGGGCACCAGTCACCGTATCTGCATCACGCTCTTCAACGCGCCCGGGCCGAGGCGAAACGTGCACCTCACCGCCTGGGGCGATGCCGGGGGCCTCCCCTGGTCGACGCTGGTGGAGAGAATACCGGACACTGTGGGCGGTGAGCTTTCAAGGCGTACCTACTTCGGGTACACGGTGGGGATCACTTAAGAGGACCTTAGAGCTATCCCATTCGCGACATGCGTAAAACGGTGCTTCGTCATCAAAAATCGCTTAGGAGCGCTTTAATTGCTCTCCTGTTTGCCAGCTACAAATCTGTATTACGGACTCCTCGAAATATCACATCCTGGACTTGGCTTTTGCGACAGTGGTTGCCATTTGCCTTCTGAACAACTGAAATCTTATTCTTGTGCTGGTCGTCGCTTTCTACTGTCACCCTGATTGGCTGTTGCTATTTTACCATCACTATCCTGATTGCCTGTCATCAACTCACATCTGACGATCTGATTGGCTCGGTTGCCGATCGGCCCCTTGATTGGCTATCGCCCTGACTCTCCCGTCGTCCACAGCTGATGGCGACCACTGTTTTGACCTGGCCGTGCCGCGCACGGCGTCCGCTGGACTTGGTCACATGCTTCTCAAGGTCTCCAGTGCCACCGGGCTCAGATTATCAGATCTGGCGACGGTTCGTATACAAGATGCAAGGATGTAAATATGCAATATTCACTTTCGCATGTCGAAACTTATTTCGCATGAGCGTCGAGGAAATGGCAAGTCATGCCCATAATTTAATTACGAGCTCATATTAGTGGTGTGCCCACCTGATCTATCAAGAGAAGACCGTAGACCTCGTGAGCCATGCTTCAGAGTTTATGGAGTTGTCACGTCAACTCGGCTATGACCTCGGGCCTTGGTAGGTCGACATCTTCGGCACAGCTGGCCACGGAAGCACACATTGCAGCTGCAACAACGGCCAGCCTTTCCAACTGCACTCTGATGGTCTCAAAACATTTCCGTTAACGCTGTGTGATCGGGCTTGACATTTCTCAAATATTGCAAGGCAGATCAAATAGAATCTAGCCCAGAGACGCAATTTCGCGAGGTCATTTGAGAAAGGCTGCCCATGTCAAGAACTGTCACTAGTCCCAGGTTTAGTCGAAGTGTAGTATCTCTGGGGGTTTGACCCACTGTCGCATCGAAGTCAGGGAGCAGTTGGAGGGGTGGGGGGATGGTACCGGCGGCGCACGCGGCCACGTTTCCGAACTGCGAGAAAGCCAGTTCGCTATACCAAGAGTATGTCAGAATCGCACGCATGGCGCAGAACAAGGTTCCGACAAAATGATCAGACTGCGGGTGCTGGGTGCACCGGCAACGTGTTGTTGCAGCAACAGAGAACGTGCGCGACCATGCGTGCGTGTAAAACACATGTTCCCCTTAAGCCATGCAGAGCTGCAGTTCAGTTGGCCCTGGAGAAGATCATGAGTGGTAGGGGCCCGGGACCGGACAGCGTGCCGAGCGAGGTTCTTAGGAAACTCGACCATGTGGGGAGGCACCACCTTCTCAACCTCATCCATAGAGCCGGATGTGAATCATGCATCCGCTTTGTGGAGATCGGCAGGGATTGTCAACAAGCACGAACCAGAGTGAAAAAACTGCGAGTCACCGATATATCTCCTTAAAACACGACTGAGTTTTAATTGTTCAGCGCGCATGCAGGATAGCAAAGGCTTTCCTGATCATCAGGTCCCCGAGAATCAGGTGACTGCTCCCATGGCATGAAGTCAGACCGTGCCCTCCGACATGGCACCGGCCAAACGGTATATCTAAACACCGGCCATGCTCGTGAAGCCACCGCGGCGGGCGCCCGTGCGGCGGGCGCTGGTCGCTGGCCGCTGGTCGTTTGTGCGAAGGGCGCTGGTCGCTGGTCGCTGGCCGCTGGTCGCTGGTGCGGCGGGCGCTAGTTGCTGGTCGCCGGTGGGGCGGTTGCTGGTCGCTGGTCTTTTGTTGCTAGTGCGGCGGGCGCTGGCCGCTGGCCGCTGGCCGCTGGTCGCTGGTGCGGCGGGCGCTGGTCGCTGGTCGCTGGTCGCTGGTTGGTACAGCGTTAAGCCTGCGGCCATCACTCACCAGTCGCTGTTATCTCCTCGATAGTTCCAGGGGAACGGGCCCGAACCATGCACCTGTCATCCACACTGACAGCCACATCAACCATCTGCGGAACCGAGGCTCGCAGACGGACACGACGCCATGCCCAACTGCCCGGGCTGACACCACGGACACGGAGCGGAGGGGCGAAATCTGTACAAATCCTGCGCTTGTCCCGTGTTGGCACCAGCCGAGATGCATCAGCCCCCATGTATCACAGACCTGACAATGATTTGTGCAGCTATCCCGGCACTGACAACGGCTTTCAGTGTAATGAACGTTGCTCGGTTACGCCTGGTTACAACAAGGCACCGGCTTTGCGAGACAATACACTACGCCAGTACAGCTGGCACTGAACGGGAGCTGGCTACCGTGACACCGACAGCTTGCATCTCAAGTGCTCAATATGAGACCAATGCAGTAGATGGGCCTGCACACAGGCCAGCCCCCCTGACATCGGCAAGGTCACGCCAAGGTCGGGCGTCGGCAGACTGGCGCAGCAGAACACTCAGCGAGCTGTGACTGTATAGACCATCAGCTGTGACTGTACAGGCCATCAGCTGTGACTGTACAGGCCATCAGCTGTGACTGTACGGGCCATCAGCTGTGACTGTACAGACCATCAGCTGTGACTGTACAGGCCATCAGCTGTGACTGTACAGCCATCAGCTGTGACTGTACAGCCATCAGCTGTGACTGTACAGGCCATCAGCTGTGACTGTACAGGCCATCGCTGTGACTGTACGGCCTCAGCTGTGACTGTACCGGCCATCAGCTGGACTGTACAAGCCATCAGCTGTGACTGTACGGGCCATCGAGCCTGTGACTGTAACAGGCCATCGAGCTGTGACTGTATAGGCCATCAGCTGTGACTGTACTGGCCATCGAGCTGTGACTGTACTGGCCATCAGCTGTGACTGTACAGGCCATCAGCTGTGACTGTACAGGCCATCAGCTGTGACTGTACAGGCCATCAGCTGTGGACTGTACTGGCCATCGAGCTGTGACTGTACTGGCCATCAGCTGTGGACTGCACAGGCCATTGAGCTGTGACTGTACAGGCCATCAGCTGTGACTGTACAGGCCATCGAGCTTTGACTGTACATGACCATCGAGCTGTGACTGTAACAGGGCCATCAGCTGCAAAACGTTCACAGTGTCGCGCTAATGTGTGGACCATTAAGCAATTAATGAATCAGACAAATACCAAAATGTCCCTCACCGAATTACGCACTATTGACATTCACAACGGAAACTCTTGCTGCAGCTTTGTTGATTGTGCGTTGTTTGAAGCTGCATGCCATGCGAACTTCGCATGGTCCTTTGAATTCTGGACTGCTCTGCAGAAGTGAATTTGTGTCGGAATGCCTTCCAGGTCGGACCTCGTGTTGAGGCAGCAAAAGCATTGTGCTGCAGGGCGCTTTCAAGGGTTGCTTTAATATTTTGAAGGAACTGTCTATTATCCCGTTATATCAAGTCATCTACCTACAAACAAGTTTTAGCCATGCAGTAATTCTGGTCAAGGAGTTCTTGGCCAGCGCAAAAATATTCGGTGAGAAGCATTCTCATCTTCCGGCAGGCTTCCTGCTAATCGTATATGCCGCCTTCACCGTCCTGCTGTACCGCGTTTCAGGTGACCATCAAGGCCTTCACGCTGGTGACGCTGATCCAGACAGACAAACCCCGATACCGTCCTGGGGATAAAGTCCTGATCCGTGTCATGGCCCTGAGATATGACCTCACGCCGATCATCGAAAACGTGAGCTGTACATCCTCGGATTAGTTCACTGCCGAACGCTATGAGTGAAATTTATTTTTTCAAAACAGCCGGTTAGCTATGTCCACTGGTCGTTATTGGATGGCTGTGATTATCATTACGGACGCAGGCAGGTGGAGGTGAAGACCTGCCGAAGTCCTATCAAGCTTACTTAGTGGTGACTGGTGCTGATAAACGGCAGCTCTATGTGCTAATAAACGCGAACTCCATGTGCTGGTGAGCGGGAGCTCCATGTGCTGATAAACCGGAGCTTCATGTGGAGCTTCGTTAGGTTCTAAAGTGTTTTTACTCTGTTCGTATACTGAAAAGGAGCGCATCTGTTTCGTTGTAAGGATCAGTGCAAACTATGCATCGGATTTTTTGCTTCCGAATCGGCCACTGCTCCTCAGGTTCCTGAGGTGTGGGTGACCAGCCCCAGACAACATCCGCATCGCCCAGTGGAGGGACATCAAGACCAGCGGAGGCCTGATCCAGCTGGAGATGCAGCTGACCGAGGAGCCACCCATGGTGAGGGTCACATGAAGGTCAAGTGGTCGCTCGGGTTGCAGTTATAGCCTAGCCCTGCCGGTCCCCTGCCTCCGGTGAAATCATCCTCTAGAAGAAGATTCGCTTCTGGTGAGGTCACTTGGAGAGCGAGGGTTCGCCCTGGTGCAGTCTTCCCCTCGCCCCGGTGAGGTTACTTGAAGAGCGAGGGTTCGCCCTGGTGCAGTCTTACCCTCACCCCGGTGAGGTCACACTCTGACCGATGGGCCGTCCCTGACAAAGCCATCAAACCACATGCTTCCATCTTATCAAGGTGCATTGGCACATCGCTCGAAAAGCATACGTTCCCAAGACAATAAAGCTGGCTGAAGGCCCTCCAGCACTGCTGGGGGCATTTGGGTACACTTTGTGATTGACTTTCAGGGCAGATGGACTATCCACGCGAAGACAAATGACGGTCCCGAAAGTAAGGGTTTCGTTGTAGAGGAGTATGTGCTGCCTACATTCGAGGTCAAGGTCAAGAACCCAACCTACGTGCCTGAGGGGGACAAAACCATCACCCGTCGACGTCTGCGCCAAGTAAGCCATGCCTGATTGATGCTTGTGCGCTAGCTGATGAAGTGATTCGCAACAGCAAGACTAAAAGGCTTAGCCAAAGCGTAGAAAGCATTACAGTTCCTTGCGAGCTCTCATTGGCGGAAGACATTTCACCAACCGGCCACAGTCTACAGATTTTCCAATTCCATGCAATTTCCGTTTTACCGGGTTTTATCAGGTTTACCCAATTCGTAATGACTAGGGAGCGTCGTGCTGCAACATTGATTGCACGCACCGCCACCTATCGCTGCTGCAACGCCTTTTAAGTCCAGTGCAGTAAGAAGCGTTACAGGTTTGATGTCATACGAGCTCAACATCGATACTTTTTCCATCGCATCGAGTCACGTGAATGTAAGCTTCGAGGTGCTGTTGCCTAGCATTGGAGTGGATTCCCTAATGAGATATTTTCCATTGTCTAGTCTGAACAACTCTGCCTGAACGCGTCCTATAAATGACTGATGGATCAGGGCCTATGCTAAGCAAGCTCTTCACAAGATCTTGACTCCACCAGACCAACGGCGTCCATCAGATTATTGCTATGAAATTCGAGGCATCGTAAAACGCCACATCACCGCCGCCGCGTGCAATCGTGTCTTTACGGTCAGTCGTTAGCGAGTCGTCTTTGACAAAATGCACAAACGAGCGCTACTTCTGGGGACGTGGACCCACATAGCTTGCTAGCCTGGTGAACAGGTGTCTAGCGGGACGCCGACTTAGCCGCGGGCAGGGGCTATAGAAAGCCTCTCAAGTTAGAGGTGAGCTAAAAATTTTATCATTTCTCTCTAGACAATGACCGTATGGCCAATGGTGGACGGTTAGTGGGACCACTACTCCCTTGACTCCCCCACGCTCCACCCCCCCTAAGTCTGCACGCCTGGCCACGGCGATGTTATACCAATACGAGGCAGTATCAGAAGCGACGCATGCCAGGAAGAGCCGCGGTAATGAGCGGTACCATAATGCAGCAACTCCCCGGTGGTGGCGTTATAATCTGGTAAGCCATCGAGTGCTGGTCGGAATAGCAGACCCTGAATAGCTGATATTGCGGAGTGAATCCGTTCGCTCACTGCCATCTTTGCTCCCACTAGTGCTGAAACATGTCGTTACAGAGTAGTTATATCAAGTAGTTACAAATTGATGAGTCACCACGTTGAAATAGGCTTGCCGGGAACCACAGAGGGAAAGGTTTAGTATCAAAACATTGACACGTTTTCATGGCCAATCATCAGCAGGAATCGAGGCAGATTAGGAGGCTAAAGCAGTATTGTGTCACGAACATTCGGATGCTGGACCAAACGTGGGGAAAACAAAGCTTGCTTGAAAACATTTACTATAAGATAGTTCGGGTGAATGCATGCCGTTGATTTCTTCCACAGATTGTTCTAACATGGAGGTGGAATACTAGAGAGACGTAACCGAGCCTCTAGATTATTTATCAGCCTTTAGTAGTTCGCCTGGAGTGAAAAGTTTTTATGTTCAGGTGCAGAGAATATTCGACTGTCGTGTTCTTGTTCATAAGTCAATTGAAAACGGATTGCTGAAATTGTTTAGCTGATCTTGTTTGAGAAAAACAGGAGAACGGGACGAAATTACCCCTGCCTTGAAAAACACGTTCAATGTGTTGCGTAGCCGTTCTCCAACTGCCTCAGGTGCTGTGTTAGTAGGATCTGGTCGAGGGGATAACTTAGACCGAGGGAACTAGCACTCCATGCAGTACATAACACGGCCGCCCAATGTCACCTTCATCCCAACGTCGTTTGACATAGGGCATGCGGGCACGACGTGAGACATGTTACAACATGAGCTGCAACAAGCCAGCTGCAGCATGAGCCTCTCAGGCTGTAACTTCATAATATACCTCGTTCAGTCCGTGGTAGCGGCCAAGCTCGCCTGTAATGACGACCAATATTCGCGACGAACGCACGGAGCATGGGCCCGCCAGCCTGCATTGATCATGCCACCAAAAAAGGAGCATGCAATCTAATAATCTTCTGTACGCGATGAAACTAACCTTTACCACCGGTAAGTGTCATAGCGTCATAGTGTCATATTTGTCAGCATTTCAGAGTGAGCCCCATGAACTGATTAGGGCTGGCGAAGCAGTGCACAGCGAATAAGATTCAGATTCAGATTCATATGTGTGTCCAGAAAGGATTCCTAATCATAGTGGCCTTTCATCTGGTGAGTCAATAAAATAAAACGTTGAGAATAAATGTCAATGGATTCCGTTGACGAAGCACACCATGTGCAACACGCCTCTGCGGCCCCTTTCGCCTACTTTGTTTTTGTATTCTGTAGTCCCCTATGTGCGCCCCTATGTGCGGTATATTACAGCCGTCAGGTCTGTGCGCTCGTTCCCGCCACACATGATTACAGCCGTTAGGTCGGTGCGCCTCTCCCGCCACACATGATTACAGCCGTCAGGCCTGTGCGCCCGCTCCCGCCACACATGATTACAGCCGTCAGGTCGCTGCGCCCGCTCCCGCCACACATGATTACAGCCGTCAGGTCGGTGCGCCCGCTCCCGCCACACATGATTACAGCCGTCAGGTCCGTGCGCTCGCTCCTGCCACGCATGATTACAGCCGTCAGGCCTGTGCACTCGCTCCCGCCACACATGATTACAGCCGTCAGGCCTGTGCGCCCCGCTCCCGCCACACATGATTACAGCCGTCAGGTCGGTGCACTCGCTCCCGCCACACGGGACCCGCCAAATTACGCGTCTCCTGCCAAATTACACGTGTCACGCCAAATAGTCCTCGCGCAAATGGGTGTGAACAACGTACATATTAAGCATCGGGAGAGGCCTCTGGTCAGATTTACCGTCAAAACAGTTGAAGCAAATGAGGACAAAAAAACAGTCCCCTATGTGCACCCCTGTGACCTCAGGTCACAACCATACTTCGTGGCTGTGACCTATAATGGCCGACATTGGTCAGAAATATCTGAACGTAAAATTCGGTGGACGAAGCCCTCCGAAATACGTCAACACGGTTCTCTGCGAGTGTGATGGAATCGCCACGCTCGCCGTGATGACAACGCCGGGTATCCGGAGAGAGTTTTGTCATTTGCACTGCAGCCAAGCTGTGCCGCAAGACAACCGCTGCGCTCTCCTTACGTGTCGACGAGACTCAGGTTTACTTCTCTACCGCTGTGCGGCTCTGCACAGTGGTGCTAGGTGCTGGAAGCCGGAAAATCCGCCCGCTCAATCTGAAGCTCGCTGGTCTGGGAGTTTGGAGTCGGGGAGTCTGGAACATTTTTGGAAAATAAGTTTGTGCTTGCAGAATGCTTGCACATGGGTTTCGAAATGTATTTGGTGACGGTATGTTCCGCTGATTTAGCTAAAGCTGATGACCTGTTCCACCGAATGGAAATACATCTGGCTCCGTTTCTCCACGCATATGATCCACCAGGAATGCGTTGCATAAACTTTACGAGATGACAAACGCTGACCTTGCTTAACGCAGGTACACCTTTGGTCAGCCGTTGATTGGAGCCACCGTAACGATGTCTGTCACGGACGGTTCCAACCCAAACGAACGCGTCAAAGTCGGCGACACTCTCTCGGTGAGTCAGCGACACTCTCTCGGTGAGTCAGCGACACTCTCTCGGTGAGTCAGTGACACTCTCTCGGTGAGTCAGTGACAGTCTCAGGCCGTGACACCCTTACAAGTGTCAGTGACCTCTTGACGTGGCGTCAGAGTTAAGCGATCACGGCCGTGACGCTTTGGGTGGTGTCATTAACCCAACGCCGGCGTCAGACGGTTGGGGTGCGACTCTGTCAGGTGTGATCCAGAAACAAAACCAGAACTGCGCCCGCGCGATGTTTTGCTGCTCAATCCCTTGTAGTGATATATATATATATATATATATATATATATATATATATATATATATATATATCAATACCTTCTCGATACCTTAGAGACCGATACAACAGACGAGACACGTTGCAGTGTTTCTGTTTTTACAGACGGACGAGACAGGCTGTGCATCGTCTGATCTGATTATGGATGAACTGTTCGCTCGCTTGGTGTCGACGTAAGTAATCTTGCATTTGTGCTGCTTGGGGCACATGTGAGTGTGACACACACACACACACACACACACACACACACACACACACACACACACACACACACACACACACACACACACACACACACACACACACACACACACACATACACACACACACACACACAGACAGAAATACGGTTGCACGACCCACGGGAGAGATATCCTCAGAGAACCTCAGGAGGGTCGCATCGACCCTCCCCTTTCTCTTACAGGGCTAGGGTTTAGGCGGCTGAAATAGTGTGGGACTGATCAGAAGTTTGGTAGGGTAAGAGTAGCGTGGGTCTGTTTGGCCCGCGTTATAAACACCTGTGACCACCCAGTAGCTGTCTTTCCGGGTGGCTGTTGTTCTAGAATGATACTTAAAAAATGGTCAAGCAGTTCTCAAACGCAAATACCCTCAGTGCTGTGTTGCTGGGCCACGGATTTTGTTGTTATCCATAGCCGTGCTGTGCCATATCAATGCATGCACCTGAGCGACGTTTGACTGTGCCAAACTATCGTTAAGTATAGTTAGTCTTTCTTTCTAGGATGGCGATTCTTTTCTAACAAGCGTTGAATAGTTTCGTTGGATTGCACATTGATAGGACACAATTACCTTTGGACGGCACCTTTCTGGTGGCAATCAATGCCCACCTCTGACATGGTACACGTGCACCTTATACTGTCAGTTCAATATCTTTTGTGTGACCCGCTCGACCTCAGCTCAGCATGAACGTCACTGTGGAGGAGTTTGGCACGGGTCTCAGCCAATCAGAGATGAGACCAGTGCACAGAGACATCTCCAGAACCGTCTCGGCCTCCGTTCCGGACAACGCACAGCTGTTCATCAAGCCCGGCCTGCCCTACTACGGCCGGGTCAGTTTGGGTTTTTGCGGAGCGCGCTGACGAAGGCCATGAGTCATGCTGCCAGATCCTCGATGGACCTGTGTTGATGGGGGAGGGGGTGGGGTGGGGTGGTTGAGCTATCGCTTGGATGTCAGTGCAGCTCTGATGGTGATCGCCGTAATCACCAATGCTTATGCTTAGACAGCCAAATATTTATGGAGTCATGCTCTCGGGTTCAGAGTGGTCAGGTCTCACGGGCTTTACATTTCAGCGACATATGCTGTAATTATTCATGTAAATACAGACTCATGACACTGCGCGTTGCACACTACATCGGATTGTGGAAGAAGATGTAATATTTCGAATACATCTACCAAGGGTCAAATTGATTTCGGCGTATGGAAGTGAAAGCTGCTCTATGCGCGTCAGATGCCGCGAACTGCTCACCGCATGGCAAATACAAATATTTCCTCGGAGTGCCATAACATTTCAGCAAATATTTCGAGGTCGATGGTATTAAATACGCAATGCGAAGCATATTTGGATATGACTTGCTGGCGAACAGCATGCAATGCTTAGAGCATTGCGACGGTGCAAACGAAATGTGATCGCGCTATTCCAGCTCCACGTCAAAGAGAGGGATGGCTCGCCTTTCGCTGAAAAAATCGTGGAGATCTGCTTCGAAGCCAAGTACAAGGAGAAAGCCGCCGTGTGAGTGTGGTGTTCGTTGTGTTGCCGCTTGCGGGGTCAACGTTTGGCTGACTTTACGACCGAAGCTTGATTGTCTGTGACAGAATGTGTCTGATGCAACTGCTGAACTAGTTGCTTGCTTTGCACACCTTTTTGTCATCCAACTTATTTTTGTCATACACACTTGTGTATCGTAATAGCACGGAACTCCGGGACCATGACACGGAGGCGAGAGACAACGGCACTGGACAGCGGGACTATGGCACGGAGGCGAGGGACAACGGCACTGGACAGCGAGACTATGACATGGAGGCGAGAAACAACGGCACTGGACAGCGGGACCATGACACGGAGGCGAGGGACAACGGCACTGGACAACGGAACCATGGCACGGAGGCGAGGGACGACGGCACTGGACAGCGGGAGCATGACACGGGGGTGAGGGACGACGGCGCGGGACAGCGGGAGCGTGACACGGAGACGAGGGACAACGGCACTGGACAGCGGGACTATGGCACGGAGACGAGAGACAACGGGACTGGACGATGTGACTATGACTCGGAGGCTAGGGACAACGGCACTGAACAATGAGACTATGACACGGAGGCGAGGGACGACGGCACTGGACAGCGGGACCATGACACGGAGGCGAAGGACAACGGCACTGGACAACGGGACCATGACACGGAGGCGAGGGACGACGGCGCGGGACAGCGGGAGCGTGACACGGGGGCGAGGGACGACGGCACTGGACAGCGGGAGCATGACACGGAGGTGAGGGACGACGGCGCGGGACAGCGGGAGCGTGCCATGAGGGTCGCGAGACATTGGGACATGAACACGGAGCCGGCAGGCGATACCAAGGCGCTCCATGGAATCTTCCCACCATTCGTCCAAACAGAGATGTAGGAGATCGGATATGTAGGAGATCAGATATGCAGAAGATCGGATATGGAGGAGATCGGATATGTAGAACATTGGATGTGTAGGGATCGGATATGTAGGAGATCGGATATCGGATACGTGTTTCACGCAGTGTGGCATGCCATTCCAGGCAGAGCGGGGTGGACCCGCCGAGGACTCCTGACGATGGCTTTTTTCTCGCTTATAAAAGGGTATGTCGACTAGGGATAAACACCTGTGATTGGATAAAGACCGAGAAGATGCTCTTTCTTGGCTTTCACCTTGACACATGTGGTCTTTGTTCAGGTGGCGTTTTTTGTTGCGTTCCAGCGCTATCGGCCGCAATAAGCATAGATAAGGCTGGGGAAGCCTGTCATTTCAAATGTCTCCTGATCAGGTCCATTTGAACTGTCCAGATATGCCCCACACCGTCACGTGCTGAGCTGCTGTGACCTGCACACCGTCCTGTTCTGAGCTGCTGTGACCTGACCAGGCCTCTATGGGGCGATCACATCTGACCTAGTAAAATGATCTTCATGACCCTGACATCGCTTTACATCTTCCTCACCTACGGTCACCAGTTCTCTCTTGTCTTGCCCTGCCCAGCCACGCCCGCCATAACCCGCCGTGCCCTGCACGACACCTTCCCTGCTTTGTCTTGCCCTAATGCAACCCTTCCTGCCCCAAAACCTCTGCTCTACTTAGCCTCGACCCGACGCAAGCAACATTTCACCGCTTTTCCTCTCTTCACGTTTTCGGTCCCGCCATTCAGACAAGGCCGAACGTGGCTAATGTCGACCTGGCCTGCCACTCCTTGGCCTTGACCATGTCACATCCTTATGTTTGCCTATCTTGTACATCCTACACTGCTTTGTTTGACCCCCGATGCCCCACGCTGCTAAACTCTAGCTGTCGTGTGTCGTGACACTGACGTGTCACATCCAACCCGCACCTGACTCGACACAGCTGGACTTGCTCTGACCTTATCTGACCGACTTGACTGACCCTAACCCGTCTCACCCGCCCTGCCGGACAGCACTCGGAGCTTGTGCGAACCAAGTTCGGCTACACGCCGCTGATCTGGGAGACGGAGCCTCCGCAGCGGCTCTCGATGGCCATCCAGTGCCGCGACTTCATCACTGACAGCCAGGGCCGCGTCGTCTACTTCATCCCGCCGCAAGCGCCGCTCGTGGACAGTGTTGACGTCAGGGTTAGTAAGGTGTGACGTCATAGTCAGTGTGGTGACCACAGGTTATGGTGTGACGTCAGGGCCAGCATCATGCATCGGAGTCAGTGAGTGCACTTGGGGTCGCGACGTTAGCGTTGCTCTGGGGACACTTTTGCGTTGGTGTCAGGGTCCGCGCGTGATGTCATGGTCAGTCTGCTAAAGTCGGAACCAGTTTTTTAATGTCATGGCCGTTATGTGAGGATCAGTGTGGCATTACTGAAGTCGATGGCCGTGTTATGGCTGTTGGCGATATCAATCTAGCGGCACCGTTAGAGTAGTGATGTCAGAGACAGGGCTGATCGTACAACGAGAGGGACTTCAACAACAGGGCCACTTCTGCGAAGTCATGGTCATTTCGGTGACTTCGGGGATGACCGAGCACCAGGAGCAGTCTAATGGGATCAGTGAATGACCTGAGGGTTGGACCTATGGACACCGTAGTCAGCTTGGTGGGGGCAAACAAGTTGTGTTTACGTCGGAACCAGGGTGGTGACAACAGAGTCAATGCAGTGATGTCAAAACCATTGCGCACACCGCAGAGCCATTGCAATGACACCTTCGTCAGATTAATGACATCATAGTCAGAGTCAGTCAGAGTCAACATGACGTAAGAGTCAGCTAAATGACATCAGAGACAGTGCGGTGACGTCAGGGTCAGTGTGATGACGTCAGTGCCAGTGTGGTGACGTCAGAGACAGCACGCGGACGTTGGAACTAATATCAGTACATCTGGGACAGTGTCATGACTTATTCGCATCGCCAGTGACGTAAGAATCCCCACACGATTTCAGCGCAACTGGTGACTACTGGTGTCGCTATGATGTTATCGGAGCTCGTTTGGTGACTTTCAGTTCTATTTGGCGAAGCACCTTAACTGCACGATACAGATTTGCTTCGACGGTAGAGCGTGACGGCACAGAACATGGCCGGGTCACAGTCGCGTGTGGTGTATCCGCCAGCTGACCGGGCGCCACGGCGGCAGAGCCCTCAGCCGCGAACTCGTGGCTTTCGTCTCCCCCTCCAACTCCTACCTAACCATCGACGCCCACCTGCTGCCCGACGAACTGCCATGCCGCGGTGACGTCACCGTCCAGCTGCTGACGTCATTGGAGACGGACGTGCCGCCAATGGTGTATCAGGTACGACACTAACATCATTGGCAGTTGTGATGGCGGAACTGAGCAAAGACCTCTTCAGATGGTTAGCAGTTCTTGCGTTGAAGAATTTCTTTGCGGGACAGCACTCGCCGAGACAGGAGGTTAGCCTCCATGCCATTCCTCTCTCACTCTCTCTCTCTCTCTCTCTCTCTCTCTCTCTCTCTCTCTCTCTCTCTCTGTCTCTCTCTCTCTCTCTCTCTCTCTCTCTCTCTCTCTCTCTCTCTCTCTCTCTCTCTCTCTCTCTCTCTCTGTCTGTCTCTGTCTGTCTCTTCCTCTCCGTCTCACCCTCTCTCCCTCTCTCTCTTTCTCTCTCTTTCTCCCCCCTCTCTCTCTCTCCCACACACTCTCTCGTGTAAGTGAATCGCTTAAAACGCGCCGAGATGGGGGTCACGTAACGTCATGTCCATGACCCCGTGTTCGGCAGGTGATGACGCGCGGCCAGATCCTGCAATCGGGCCAGGTGTCCATCTCGAACCTGACGCTGTCAGTGACGCCGAACATGAGCCCGCAGTTCAAGCTGCTGGTGTTCTTCGTGCTGGACTCGGGCGAGGTGGTGAGCGACGCGGTTGTCCTCAACGTGGAGAAGTGCTTCAACAACCAGGTGCGATAGCGTGCTGAAGTGACGATAGCAACAGATGGCAACGATAGCAACGGAAAAATGCGAACATCTATTTTGCTGGATAGCCTACGAGATTCATCATAACACGACTCGTTTGGAGGAATGTGTGTTGGTCCTGATAGTCCACATGTGATATGTGTTGATCCTGATGGTGCACTATGTGACAACCCTGTCAGGCCATGAGTCGTCTCTGGTTCTGAAAGGATCGGAACCTCAGCATGGCACTTAACCCCGACAACGAGCTTAATTCCAAGCATGTTGCTGCTGTCAAATGCTGTTGAGTTGTGTATTTAACCGAGCCGACATATGCAGCTGCTGGGAGCATTGCCTTCAACACTTCTGGCGGAGAACAACCACACTGAAAGATGACTGCGGAAGGAGTCGAACCCGGACATCTTGATTAAAAGGCACCGTCTGAGCTATAGGCCACTTACGTTCTGCTGTTGTCAGGTGGACGTCAGCTGGGACAAGCAGACGGCCCGGCCCGGGGAGTCCGCCTCCTTCACCGTCAGCGCCTCGCCCGACTCCGTGTGCGGCGTTAGTGAGTACCCCCCTCCTCGTGTCACGTGCTGAGTTCGACGGCCACTCAGTGTCGGCTGTGTCAGGCGTTCAGGAGGCAGATATGTCCGCAAGTTCAACTGATGGGCGCCCGGCTGCTATTTTGTTAAACGGTGTGTTACGCTGTGGCGACGGACCTCAGCGTTTGATTGACTCCAGCCTCGCACCATTAGTAGCGCTTCCTCCGATTTCAACGCTCGCATGTTATTCGCGTTCTCCTACCATTCTCGTCTGCCGTTTAACTGTACGGAGCACGGCAGAGCGAGAATGATGGCGTGCTCCTGAGCACCGAACACGAATGTTGGTGTGCTCCCGAGGACCGAACACAGCTAACAGTGTGCTCCCGTCTGCAGGCGCCGTGGACCGGAGCACAGAGCTGCTGGGCACCGACAACCAAATCACCGTGGATGGCGTGTTTGCCCGTCTCCGGCAGTTTGTCTCACAGGCCCATGACACGCCAGTGCAGGTCATCTGCCGGGAGGGGACGGGAGGGGACGCGTGGTGTTGCCGTCGACTGGAGCACAGGCGGCAGGATATTGGCCCTCAGTGTTGACTGCTTTCGTGTCAGTGAGGAAACGAACAGAATAAAACACTAGCGATACTCATCATCATGAGGCCTCCTTTGCCCAAGAGCACGGCTGTTTTCTCAGTGATACAAGACGCGCCCGTTTTGAGCGTGATCATCAAAGAACAGCCTGACTTGTAAACGGTGCTGTGTCTCCCGTCCCCTTCCGCAAACCCGAGCGCGCCGTATCGAACCCCTAAGCTTTGGTGATGTTGAGATGTTGAAACCTTCCGCTGTGCCGTGAAATACGTCAGAGACTGATGCGTCCAGAACTGTTGTAATTGAGTGGATGTCTTCTCGTCTGGTGTTGTGTAACATCGTGGTGTGCTGACGATGTTGAGCGATGCCGGCCATTTCAGGTGACCACGGAGGACTACTGCCTAACGCAGCAGATTAGCGTGGTTAACACCTTGCTACGGTACGTCTGCTTTCAGGCGGGGGAGGGAGGAGGACGGGGGGGGGGGGGGGGGGGGAGCTCCTCGTGCCTTCAGCGTACCGCGCACCGCCGCACCGCCGTGCCTTCGTTGGTCACCTTTGGCCCTTGTGGTTTGACGCTTCCAATGCTTACGTGGCTTTCGAGAGCAGTGCGTTTCCCTGTTCCCGATTGCTGTTCTTGTTGCGGTGTCTTCAATAACGCCTGCCGAGGATGGGAGAAATAAGCCGTCAAAACATGGTTTAGGTACTGCCACACTTGACAAGCAGCCTAACGCGGACACTTATTTCTCCAACATGCACCTCAGTCGCTACTGTCCTCCACTGCTGGAAAGGTTTGAATATTTTAAGCACCTGTCAATGGTCGCCTGTTACGTCCTCTCAAATCCTGTAAGGTATTTTCGAGTCTGCGAAAGAAAGGGAGGCCAAGATCAACTAGAATTGGAGTACACGCCATTCATCCAACGTCACCCTGAACGGGATGCAGTGTACCACCATCCCCAACCGTCACTGCCTGTTTCTGCGTGGTCGAACGCAACTGATCTGGTCAGGTCAGGCGGCGACACCTCCGCAACAGCCGTCTCGCTCCCGCCACCAGGAGCGGTGTCTCGATTGAGGAGCTGGGAGAGGACGCCATGCGATCCTTTACAAGGCATGGCAGCATCAGACTCCAGAAACCGGGACGAAGCAGAGACCCGCCCAGCTTCAGAACCGACCGGCTCGACGCGCTCAAGGCATTCGACGTAAGTGCCCAGTAACTAACAGTTGTTCACCTTTTGGACCGCGCATGCAACTGCGGTCATCATCATTGTTGTCATCATTGGATGTCGCAAAATACCCATACAATCTCGTCCATGCAGCTCGTAGAGGGAGAACAGTGAACCAACAGGTCGATGATAACGACTGCTGCTATGTTTTTAGTGGCGATAGTCAAGGCATCTTTCTGAAAATGTTATTTCTATAGAAAACTGCCATTTATTTGGGTATTTCTGAAAAGAAGTATCACTCTGGTGAAAACGCGCAAAATTTTCATGAAAATATTTGAATGAAACAATATATGAAAGAATGGATGAATATATGTATGAATGAATGAGTGGAGAATGTCTTTAATTGGTGTATGAAGGTGTCGCAAATACTTGCGATCGTCTTTTCCTTAAGCCAATATGTGAACGATAATTAATCACGGTTTGTAATCATAGTAACATTTTTGGTCCTCCGTGTCGAATGCCATGCAGAGAATAGCATATGGACGTAACACGTAGAGCATGTAGAAAATGATCGTCAGAACGTTTAGTGTTTTTCCTTCTGCAAAAGACATCATTTCAGCAAGCTACGAATAGTTTTTGACGGTTCCACAGCTGATGGCAGGTGCAAGAATCTCAACGAGTATTTCGCGGTTGATGAGACCTAATTTCGCTGGTTGCCAGTCGTGGTCACCAGATTCAGACTGTCTCAACCGATATAAGATATGCCTTCCATTTGAGAAGTTATGACAAAGTTACTAACGCAGCTACATCATCAATGGACGCAACAAGCTTTTTAGTTTCGAAGGCTTTTATTTAGTTCTACCGGTCACAACATATTCTTTTCAAAACTCGGAGGCATCGCATCGATCAAGGTCTGATAAATGACGCTGCACTATTGTACAGCTTTTAAATATGCTATTGGCACAGATGATCTGTACCTGAGCTTCAGCTCTGGTTACATTGCTAGTATAAGATGACCACACCGAATACACTTTTGCAGGAAACAGCTCAAAAGGATCTACCAAAATGATGATCATACTGAGTGTTCTAAGATACTAGGGATGCTCTCTGGGATCGGGGAGGGCCATCTGAGCCGGATATCTGGTATGGTCGGTTTCGAAAACGGTCAGTTCCCAAATGTGAGCCCTGCCCCGGCCTGCTTGTGAACAAGGTTTTCCGTATCCATGTGGAAGATGGGGAGACGGAAGCCGAGGCCGGAGGCGTTCGCAAAGGCGGAGACAGAGGGCAGATGCGGGGGAGAAGGGTAAGGAGGAGGAAAAAGAAGGTCAGCAGAAGGAGAAGGAGGATGAGGAAGAGGAGGAGGAGGAGGAGGACAAGGAGGAGGAGGAGGAGAGGAGGAGGAGGAGGAGGAGGAGGAGGAGGAGGAGGAGGAGGAGGAGGGGGCTGAGGCTGAGGCTCAGGCTGAGGCTGAGGCTGAGGCTAAGCCTGATGCTGAAGCGTCTCCCCGAAGAAGTACAAAATCTCTCTTCTAGAAGTACAAAATAAATAGATCTTGGGGATAAGAGCAACCGACTGGTTAAGGTGTTCTGTGCACGGTCCCAGATTTCGGGACAAAGCGGTCAAGACGCTAGCTAGCGCCTTGTTCCGCATATTTCCATCAGACTACACTGCTGCAGTGAAGAGCACAACGAGAAGAAAAGAATGCCTGGGAAACCGCGTCTGGGAAACCGGAGGTAAGGGGTTCAATTTCCTGTGGTGTTCGCCCTTACTGCCATGGTGATAGGCAGGCAACGTCGTAAAGCCTCACGAGTTAAGTGCGTCGTAAATCTCAATAGCACATACATCAAGAATGAAAGAGAGGGACTCGGCATCACGACCCGTCACTAGTACAAGGCAAGAGACAGAAGTAGCTCGGCGAGAAGAGATGGCGATCATGACCCGTCACTAGTACAAGGCAAGAGACAGAAGAAGCTCGGCGGGAAGAGATGGCGATCCTGACCCGTCACTAGTTCAAGGCAAGAGACAGAAGTAGCTCGGCGGGAAGAGATGGCGATCCTGACCCGTCACTAGTACAAGGCAAAAGACAAAGGTAGCTCGGCGGGAAGAGATGGCGATCCTGACCCGTCACTAGTACAAGGCAAGAGACAGAGGTAGCTCGGCGACAAGAGATGGCGATCCTGACCCGTCACTAGTACAAGGCAAGAGACAGAAGTAGCTCGGCGACAAGAGACGGCGATCCTGACCCGTCACCAGTTCAAGGCAAGAGACAAAGGTAGCTCGGCGGGAAGAGATGGCGGGATGACAGTCACATGAATTTGGCAAAGTGTGAAGTGACATATTCGCACGTTGTGTTTGAAAACAGGTTAGTTGGGAATGCCTCATACAGGCCACTGGAAATCTGCAAAACGAACGGATGGTCATCTCGATTAATGAGTGTGTTACATGCTTCATGTTGGTTTATTTTTAAATACCTTTGAAACATTAAAGCGCAACAATGGACAAAAAAGCATCTGCACCAAATGGATGTTAACTCTAAAATATTTGCTCCCTTTGGACCTTAAAGCTGAAATATTGTGTTTATCGTAAAATGCCGGAGTTTATGCAGCAACCGAACTGACATACTGAGTACTACGCCGAAAGGACGTACTATAATGATGTTAAGCAATCATGATAGTGCCCGGACTAAACGCTGATCTCAAGGAGGGTTGCAGGCGTGTAACTTGCTCTTAAGCCGAACGGAAACCACGAGGCGATGTAGTAGTATATCGTGGAACTTGCGCACAAGCCGAACGGGGACCATGAGGCGATGTAGTAGTATATCGTGGAACTTGCACACAAGCTGAGCGGAGACCATGAGGCGATGTAGTAGTATATCGTGGAACTAGACAAGAACTAGACACTGGCAGTAGACGCCGAGACAAACGTAAACATTCCAAAATACAAACAAAACTACTGATTGTAGCAATACCAATTTTATCAAGATATCTTATCTTTGCCATAAACTGGTGGTAATTGTGCTTGGTTACTGCCTAAGCGGTAGCGACATTTGCCACCCAAGTGCGGGGGTGCGCCGTGCAATACGGCCAATGTTGGGTGCCAAGTCCACTAGTAGGAGAGGCCATGTCTTAATGTTCGGGCTGACCGCGACGGCATATCAGCGGAGCGCCTCCGTCCTGAGCTGTTGCCGGCTCCGTGCGACCTTTTGTGATGTCCTCCGTTACCTTGTGCCTGAATTCGCCTCTGGCTCGTCGACCTCGCGGGATCGACCCGCTACGTCCAACCGGGTGAATGACGCTCCCTTTCCACGCAATGAAAAAAAAAACAACTGTATTTTCATCTGGGGGAGTCTTGTGATAACGCGTTAGCAGGGTGTAAGGAAAGCAGTAGTCTCGCTTGACATGTTGGGGGTGCACTTAAAAGTGTATTCTGACGTTCTCTCTTTCTCTCTCTCTCTCTCTCTCTCTCTCTCTCTCTCTCTCTCTCTCTCTCTCTCTCTCTCTCTCTCCTCTCTCTCTCTATCTCTTTCTCTCTCTCTCTCTCTCTCTCTCTCTCTCTCTCTCTCTCTCTTCTCTCTCTCTCTCTCTCTCTCTCTCTCTCTCTCTCTCTCTCTCTCTCTCTCTCTCTCTCTCTCTCTCTCTCTCTCTCTCTCTCTCTCTCTTGTTTAGCAGTCTATCACAGACAAGACTGAAGGTAAGTTTAAGCGTGTTTCATGACAGGATGTCTTCCGTACGTATTTCAGCATATTTTGATTATCTTCTAGGTCGACACCATCGCCCCCCGAAAAGACGCCTGCAGGAAAATGAGCAATCAGTGCCGCCCTTTCACTCCTCAGGAGACGGGCTTTCTGGTGATGAGCAACCTGGTTCTGGAGACGAGAACCTGCTACAAACTCATGCCGCCCCCTCCGGTACTGATGGAAGATGGTGTATTCCTGCTGGATGTCTTCACCACGGTTATCCCCCCCTTCCTCCAGGGCTCTCCTCTCTGTATTCTGCAGGCTTATAAAGCCATTGCCATCATGGGACATGCGAGGAACAAGTGGAGGCTTTGGATGAATAATTTTAACTCCATGATAGATACTGTCGTGTGGTTATGCTCTGATATTTTTGAAACGAATATAACCCGTTTCATGATGTGTGATTCATATTTGCGTGAGCGGCTTTTGCCCGTGACCCTGCTGAACCCCGTTGATCTTGCTGTCACCATCCAGAGGAGAATCGGCTTCTCAGCACAAGACTTCGGCTTTCTTAGAAAGACACAACCAGATTCCAGAGCAGGTATAGCAGGTCAAGCTGGTGAAGCAGAGTTTCCAGCAAGTCCGCCCGAGGGGGCTCCCATCGGGGACCAGGTTCGGGACTTCCTCCCAGAGGCATTTCTCTTCTCCATCGAGACGCTTGGGTGAGGCGGCAGTTAGGAAGATGTCGTATGCGCAGTTGGAGAGCATGACTGGAAGGAGTTCCTAACTGTCTCGCAACTCGCGTCGCTGTGGCGGTCTGATCGACCCAACCTCTGTGCTTGCTCTAGTTTTATTTCGGGTGTTCCATGCCGACTATGGCACATTTTTTTCCTGTCCGCACCACGCACCCGGTTTTGAAGATCTTAGACAAGAATCGGTTCGGGACGGCGAGGATAAACATTAGCTGCAAGGATTCGCCACGAAGCAGAAGCCTATCCTAAATTGTGTCGACCATGGACCGACCCAGCTGTCAACTGAACCGCCTCCCTTTTACACACACACTGTGACCTAGTTTTCTTTAAATATCGCGTTATATTCGTGAAGCTTCCTCGACCTACCTAGGGCTCCTCCTCTGTTATCTATGCATGCTGTGCGCTCAAGCCCTTCGCCGCCATCTCCCAGCCCCGCATTTGTTTGCGCTCAGATGCACGACCCCATTTGTGTCTTTGGTTGGGTTCCCACGCCATGACCGACCTGAAGCTGACCTTTCTGTGTCAACAGTCCGGAGGGCACCAAAGTGCTGGCCCAGAACATGCCCGACACCATCACATCGTGGGTTGGCTCAGCCATCTGCTCCCACCCCCAGGTAAATGAAGAGTTTAGACCCACTAGCATAGGTAGGTAGGGGCTCTCCACCGCAGGTGGCTTAGGATTTCCCGGTTCCAGGTAAGCAAAGAGTGTGGACTCTGGGTAAGTGAGAACTTCTTAGTCACAGTTACCTGGGGATTTCCCGGCTCCAGCTTGGTGGTGAGTTCCCTAGATTTGGCCATTGGCTTTCGGCCATGCCATGTCAAGTGTTCATGGATAAATCAGAATTTTTGTTGCTGGATAGACTCCAGCTGAGGACAATTTCAGGTGCGCAACACTTGTACATAAATGTCTTCCAGACAGCTAAAGTTTGAATTAATGCTGGTACTTACTGAATATTGCAAATATCTCCCATGACAAGCCTTTCATTGGGCCGGTTCCATGCAAAGAACACACCGATCCAGTCCCGGTTCCTCCACCACATGAGCACTAATGACTTGTCTGGGGCATCATTTCCGAGAGTTGAGTGATTGGTATATCTCTGCTTTTCAATTATACATGACGTCACCGTGTGCTATCAGGACGGGTTCGGTGTCTCCAACAAGTCAAACATCAGGACATTCAAAGCCGTTCTTCACGGAGGTCACGCTGCCGTACTCCGTGAAGCGAGGAGAGATTCTGAACATGCCGTCAACCGTCTTCAACTTCCTCAACTCCAGTCTGTCGGTAAGCCGGTTAACAATGCTCCTCACACTTCTGACCGACTGTAGCATCCGCGCAATACATCATATACTGATGTGCGCTCAAATCATTGCGGTGACTTCCATGGTGATGGTCAAAGGACCAGTATGCTCGCAGCTTACGGGTGTTCATAAAACCAAAGTTATTTAATGTTACACCTGACGTTACATTTATTTGGACGTTTGAACTGCATCCACAAAAGTTTTGCAGGGCAATTGCTTACATTCCATTTCCACACGCCCACCTCAAACACAGCACATTTTATTTAAGCCACGGTGCGCCTAGTGACACATTAGGGCGCAGCTCGCTGGATGCAGGCCGCTCGCAAGACGTAACAGTGCAGTCCGAAAGGGGAACACATTGCACATGTGTCAGATAATGCCACATGCCTTCCCAGGCGCTACCCGTTAAGTGAAAATACCCCTATCCAAGGGTTCAGCAGAAACCTCTCACAGACGTTGCGGCACTTTCACCCCACGTATTCGGCTGTCCCATCTCAGATGACAGCCAGCTCTTCCTTCAGGCGTTGCAGCGTACTCCAGGTTCGGTTGTAGTTGTTGCAGTGAATACCAACACACCAGCTGTCACTCTGCTGTCCAGTTTCCCAGATGTTAGAGTACCCTGTTCGCGGCAGGTGTACCTGGAGCTGGCAGCGTCGAATGATTATTCGCCGGCGAACGAAGTCTCGCCCGCGGGCATTGCCCTCTGTGTGCCGGCGGGCGGCTCCAAGGTCAGACACTTTCCGCTGACCTTCGCCTCCCTGGGCGAGGTCAACATTACCGTCACGGCCAGACTCCGAGACGGCAACTGTGATCAGCCCAACGCCGTCGGCCCCGGCAGGTGGGTTTGTCATTGTGTTTTGGCCGTGGTGGTGGTCTTTAATCACTGATGTCATATGGTTCATTAGTGCAAACGCATGTGTTCATCACAAGCTCCCGTGCCGAGGTACCCCTTCCAATCGGAGCTCACCAGCGAGCGGCCAGCGCCGGCCGAATAATCAGTCATCTGAGATTTGTCAGCTGGTGTTAGCGCCGGCAAAATGATCAATCGTCTGATGTTGGCGCCGGCTGGATGATCAGTCATCTGATGTTGGCGCCGGCCGAATGTGATCAGTCATCTGATGTTGGCGCCGGCAAATTGATCACTCATCCGATGTTGGCATTGGCCGAATGATCAGTCATCTGATGTGGCAATGCAATCTTGCGACTGATTGCATAGGTAGGATGGAGAGAAATGGGCGAACGCTTGGGAACTAGGTGAAGCGTACTGTGCACAGAGACGGGAGAAGCTGACGCTCGATTTTTACTCTGGACTCGCTTCATGTCGTGACGCACTTACCATTTGGTGCAAAAATTTTGCGGCTTTAAATCTTGCATAGTTAATAAGGTTACACACGTATTTTCTAGTGTTATTTCAGAGGGGAGGGATGCGTGCAGTTTTCTTATACCGATTGTAAAAAAGATCCTTCTACACGATGACCAATACACAACTTTGAAAGCGCAATCTTCAACAAGGTGAAATGGTCTTAACCAGGTGTTGTTGTTGCTGTTATCAATTTACGTTCACAAAGAACGCAATATCAATAAATATGGACATACCTGTAACCTCTGGCGGACCAGCTGTTCATCGGCTGATCGTAGGGTGGTGAACCCCATTTGACTGCCAACGTTTTCTGCACGACCGCCACTGTTCTCCAACGCCTCCAGTCGAATGGTTTGTCGTCATCACCACTGACGTGCACTATAACAAACTTGTAGGCATGACGCCGTATGCGTATGATATCTTTTCCAGACCTGGGCTCTGTGTCCCACTTCACCCGCTTCTAACTTCCCCGATGGCACTGGCTTCCCCCTGGCCATCAGACATTTCCAGCCCTCTTGCACGTCTTAGACGTTTTCTTCCGTGACAGGTGCCCATTACGTGAGAGCCCCGAGAAATGCCCTAATGTCTTATTCCTACAGCAAGGACGCGACCAGGTCCTCTGACCTCAATCACTTTCGATGGACAATGGTTTGTGTTGAATGCATGTAGTTCGGTAAGCCCGCGTGCCGAACGCCATCCATTAAACGCCGCACACCATGCTCGTCGGCGGTCCGGTATTCCCACGTGCCCGGGGGCGGCCAGGCACATCTGACCGCTCGCGGTCCGCTGCGAGTCCGTGAGCGGCCAGACGCGCGTTGGTCCAATCTCATCCAGTGGGCGATGTCTAGTGAGAGCACGGGCTTCGGACCTGAATAACCAGTTGCAAACGTTTCTCCATGGACGTAGATCCCCTCTCATCCGAGCCCATTTGCTGGGTGGCTAGCGTTGCAGCTTCGCTCACTTTGTTCACGTTTTGCTTCACGATTAGCCGATTCTGGTCGCCCTCGGTTTTCGCCTTCCGGCTGCTTTTCTCTCTCGCTTCATCCTCAAAGTCTGGTTTATTTTCGACAACCTATTCTGTATTTTAGGCATTTAATATAGTGCTACGCGCAGCTTGAACGCAGCCGATCTGCAGCTGAGCAGTGCGTCCTGCAACGACGCAGCGACATATATCATGGCCTCGTTGAATTATTAACGCGGATCGCACGTAAACGCCATGCCATCAGCGTTTCCATTGCATGTTCACGCGTTACACTCTGGTATGGTACAAGGAAGGGGCTGTGCTACAAACCACTCGCTGTCTTCGAGGTCTGGGGTAAAGATGCTGGGCTTGTAATCAAGTGGCACCGGGGATGAGTCCCAAAGCGGGCGCAGAGCAGAGCGGGAGCATGGTTTGGTCCGGCTGAAAGGAAAAAATCAGCTGGCAGCCGGCCAACGAGGGTCAACCCGGGCCCGGGGAGCTGCCCAGCGTTCAGCGGCACGTGAAATCTTCCGCACTCCTGCCTAGGCCAAAGGGAGCAAGGCAAAGTTTTCCGTTCAACTGGACATTACAACTCGCGTGGTGGATCTAGGGTACAAGCAACAAGTTGTGCTAAGCAGATAATCCGAAACCAAAGCCGCCCCCTCCCATTCAGACAATTCGGAATGAATTGAGAGCGACGGATGAAGGGGGCACAAAATCGCCTTAGTCATGACTCACTACATTAGGGCGAGCAAGTGCTAACCCCAAGTTTTAATCAGATGAGCGGTTGGCGCCTCAAAGTTCCTTGACCATCCCACGTCACTGACGCTTACATCCTAATGGCGGACTTGGCCCCGTATCTCCTGTTGTAACCATGTGATGATTTCAGGTTTGATTTTGTTCACATCAGATCTGTTGACAACCTTGCCTATCACTTCTTGATTTGATAGGCGAGCACACACTTTACTGCCGCATCATAATGTGGTGCTGTGCCCTCCGGGGACGGGAATACCAAATCCTTGCCCGTCATAACAATTTTGGAAACAGGTCTCCACTCCTGGCTGCAAAGAAAGGGAGAGGGAGTGGAGAGGCGTGCAAAGACATTCGTTTCCTCTTTTTTGCAACGTGTTGGCATAAACATGACGAGCATGCATGTAAACGTTATCTAAACAGGGTGTCAAAACCTCTAGCCTCTGTGTGCTACATATTGCTAGCAGCGCAAAGACTTCACCTCCTGCTGTGACCGGCAGTGACACGATCATCCGTCCGCTAGTGGTCAAGCCCGAGGGATTCCCGCAGGAGGAGACGACGTCGCGGTTCGTGTGCCTGGACCGGGGTGAGTCTTGACGTTTGTGAGAGGGTCAGCTGTACGTAACACTGGTTTAGTTCAGCGAACTCACACGACCCACGACCCACGACGTGCCTTTGCGTGTACGTGTGCATGTGCACGGTTGGGAGACAGCGAACTGCCCCATCTCGTACCGAAATATTACAGAACCAAGTGTAAGGAAGCAGGCAAAGCAGCGTGCTTCTAGGTAATGCCACCCATATGCATTCATGTTTTGTTAGTTAGCGTCTACCATTCCAGCACAAAACTGCCACCCGGAACAATTCTAGCTCAGGGTGAACACCAATATGTGTGTTTTCACACTTTCACCGCGGCGTGATTACGACAAAACTACCAAGTGTATGCGCCGCATACCGTTGCGCCACGTTTTTGTTCAATAAGCAGCAGTTATCACCGACCGAAGATCTTTGGCGTCTTAATATATATATATATATATATATATATATATATATATATATATATAAATTAGGAGTTCTATGTTCCAACAAAACAAGTTTTTTGGACGAGCCTGATGCGGATCGCTCAACTGCGCCTTTGTCCATGACACGGCCCGAATTCGACGTGTTATGACCTGACCCTGACCTGCTCCTGATGTGTCAGGAGCTGAGCCTCACGTGGAGCGGATCCCGATGGTGGCTCCTGAAGGCCTGGTGCCGGATTCTGAGCGGGCCTATTTCTCCATAGTGGGGGATCTGCTCGGACCCTTCATACGACGTGAGTCCGTCCCGAATGCGCCTCTGGTGAGGAGATTCTCTTTTGACCCATGACAGCCACAGGTGTTGAAAAGGCGCGACAAATGGGTCAGGAATGAGACGAATGAATACAAGCCTCTTGCGAGTGTCAAGTCGATGATGATTGCGAACCCTGCTAATACTCCAGCCAGTCTTCGAAATAACGTGCCGTCCTTTGTTTTTGTAGTTAATGTGCGCATCAAAATTCAAAAAGTGAACTGGAAAATTGCGTGAGCGGTCGTACATAATTAACAGTGCAATTACAGTAATTCCCTAGTACTGTGAGGCCGCAAAACACGTCCGTCTGCTGCGCGCTCTGCGTCAATATCAAAGCACCAGCATTCCAAACTCGCAAAAAACAAAACAAGAACTGCACAAAATGGCCAGAACCGAGCACTTATCAATCCGGCGTTGGAGAGAAGCGAGATTGACACACGTGGACATGTGGAAAGAATGTACAGCTGTCAGCGTGAAAGTGCGGGTCGACGTGTGCAAACAGAACGCACGCATTCCGTTGCAGGCCACGGAAGCAGCGATGAATATGACAACATGCCATGTCGTCATATTCGATCAACAGAGCATGTAAAGACGCGGAACCAATGGCTATTGTTGTCGACTTTTTAGTGTATGCAGATGCATGGCGAGAAAACCGCTAAGCAATTATGGCAGCGTCCGACCCGTAGCCAGTCAACAGCAGCAACGAGCATTGTCATCGGTATTTCATTCAAAATAACATTTCCATGAAACAAGCCAAGTTTGAATGAATTATCGCAAAACTGTCTTTTGGCTTTCGTCGACTTTTGTCCTCCAAGATCTGATCGGAGAAAAACGTAAATATGATCCTGCAGACTTTTGACCATATATCAGACATTCCATAAACTTAACTAGAAGGCAGGTTATCTCGCGAACCACTGCACATTAGCAAACATGGCATCTAGTATGAAATTCATTGCGCTTAATGCTTTAAAACTTAACCGTGGAATGACGTTTCCCTCTCACTCATTGTTCGACCACAAATATCATTGCGGAAGCTGTTTCGATGACTTGCCAATATGCGGCAACCACCTGCTGTGACCGTCAGAACCTGGGTCGCCTGTTGGACATCCCGACCGGTGGAGGAGAGACCAACATGTTGGCCTTCGTGCCGTACATCACCGTGAGGGCGTACCTGGAGCAAACCGGACTGCTGACTCGCCGGGACCGGGACCGGACCACCAATGGCATGAGACAAGGTGAGACAGAGATCTGGAACACACCGGACTGCTGACTCGCCGGGACCGGGACCGAACCACCAATGGCATGAGACAAGTTGGGGCTGAGGCCTAGACCACCCTGTACATCTCACGTGCCGGAACCCGACTCGGACAACAAACAACAGAAGAGTCGTACTGGAGCAGGACCATGAAATCATAAGGGTATGGAGGTTAAATATGCTAGAATATTAACAACAACATCTTGAACATGGTGAGCACGCTTGAGAAACATGCCGAAGGGGGGCAAAAAAAAAAACACAATGGGGCAAAACATGTTTACAATGCGTGAGAATAACGACAAGGCTGCAGATATGAGCCATCACCGTGCCAGCTGCTTTTCCAAACGTGTAACAGATGTGACGATAGTTGCAACTACGGCAAGTTATCATCTCTCTCGATTTCTAGCCGGTGAACATCACTGGCAGACAAAAACAAAACGCGAGTCTCGAGTTTTGGGCGAGGGGATCATCGTGATCAATGAAGTAAGATGGGATGACAGAGAGGAAGTCGCGACGGCAAGTGTCACGTGTAACCTGTGAGCATTCTTATTTACACCCCCAGGGAGCCAGATCCAGTGGCAATACCGGGACTCTTTTGACCTTGCGCGTCACCCCAAGATACTAGGTCCAGTCACGGTACACTCACCACCAGTGACACCCTTTCGCTGTACTCCAGGGTATCAGTCACAGCTGCGGTACAGACGCCCGGACGGCTCGTACTCCTCGTTCGGCCAGGACGACCCTGAAGCCTCGCTGTGGCTCACCGCTCTCATCGTGAAATCCCTTAAGGAAGCGTCCGAGTACATCGATATCGGTAGGTGTCTCTATTCACGGTACCACATGGTTGCGCGGCTACTCGTCACAGTACCGCGTGGTTGCGTGGTGCTCGTCACGGTAGCAGCGTCATTGTGCAGCACTCGTCACGGTAGCAGCGTCATTGTGCAGCACTCGTCACGGTAGCAGCGTCATTGTGCAGAACTCGTCACAGTGGCAGCGTCATTGTGCAGCACTCGTCACGGTAGCAGCGTCATTGTGCAGCACTCGTCACGGTAGCAGCGTCATTGTGCAGCGCTCGTCACGGTAGCAGCGTCATTGTGCAGCACTCGTCACAGTAGCAGCGTCATTGTGCAGTACTCATCACGGTAGCAGCGTCATCGTGCAGCACTCGTCACAGTAGCAGCGTCATCGTGCAGCACTCGTCATGGTACTAGCGTGAGATGAATCGGGCACACTCCCGGTGTCTCTGATGTGTGCTCCGGTCTCGGTATTCGTGTATTGATGTACCTGTTTTAGAAATGAACACCATCACATCACATCAGCGACAGTCTAAGCCCTAATCAGTGCCGTGCTGGACTGCGATCAGAGATGCCTGAAGTGCGTTGAATGACCTTGGTATGAGATGCTCTTACGTCTTTAACTCTGGAGAACCTTGGCCAGCCAGTTCAGCATAACCCCACTGCTGCGTTTATCGCGCCCTTGCGGGAAGTTAGCCGACACGAGTGAGAGTGGAATGGCGAAGCAGCAACAGATCAGCGACTGCATTCCTCCACTGGTTGACTTTATATATCCCCTGAACCCCTGAACAACGACACCGTCTCGTATCATTGTTCAGACTAGCAGCTGGCCAATATCGCTGATAGACAGGTGCTGCAGTAGCAGTAGAGTAATGTCTGCCTCCATCCACGACCTAACTATACTGTACTTTATCCTCATAACATTACTGGCCAGACGAGGAGTCGTCCGTGGTCAGTAACTGATGGGACTTCAGCAGCAGGGCGACTTCGCACCACATTGATGGCGCTGCTGACCATAACCTGCTTGTCATGATGAGGAGTAAACCAATATTAGGGGGGGGGGGGGAGACGGTTGACGTAAAGATGAACTAACGTCTGCTTCCCTCCACTAGATGGCCTTAAAATCACGAATCCCGCGGGAAGTCCAAGGAGTGAGAGATGGCGGGTGCAGTTTCTCTTCACGAGCTAACCACTTTCTTCATATCAGACAAGGAGTCGACCAAGAAAAGTGTGAGCTGGCTGGTGCAGCAACAGCAGGATGACGGCTGCTTCCCCCTCCTCGGCAGCGTCATTCACAAAGAGCTAAAGGCAAGTGACGCCGCGTCATGTTGGCAGAATGGGAAGCCGTACCTTGACATGCGCCGTGTCGCGCTGGGAAACAGGTCATTAGAATACCCCAGCCTCACGTCAGGAAACAGTCCTCCGGGATCCCTCAGTCTCCTGTCGGTGATGCGGGTCAGGGAGCCCAGCGCTCTTAGGCTGGTCGTGGGGTGATGGAAAGAAGATAAACGTCATCAGACACACATGGTAGCAGCCTCACATTCACTGGGGTGACACGGAAGACTCGAGACTTTTAGCCTCGCAGCCCCCGTGCCGCACTCCTAGTAGCACAAAAGTTGGACCGCGGGATCCTCACCCCACACCGCCGGCCTGAACTGGTCACGCTGCGGGCGGCCCACCTCTGCCCTCACCAGCACATCCCCGCACCGGCGCAGCGGGATAGATCAAACGGACGCTGGGACTGCAAGCGGCGAGCGCCACACATCGGGATCAATGTGCATGATGTTGGCCTTGTCGCTCCCAAATGCTTTCCGTATTATTTATTATTTCATTTTTTATTTCATATCATATTTTTATTATTTCGTTGTTAATGAATTTTCTAGTTGTTTGTTTCAAATGCTTTGCACACCTTTCACTGGGCACTGTGCTGAAATCACCAGCTCGAATCACGATATATGTCACCGGTGGATCGTCTTCAGTGTAGCGGTGAAAAATACCACGCATGTTATCAACATTGGCGAGCGGTCTGACACAGAGATGTCAGTATAACGCCGACATGTCCGCTCGCCAGGGCGGCGCAGAGCGGGGCGGTCCAGCTGCCCTGACGGCGTTCGTCATGCTCGCCATCGGGACCGACAACAGCAGCAGTGTGGATAGAGGCTTCACCTGCCTGGAACAGGGCATCAGTCTGACCAGCAAGACACTGTACGCCGAGGTATGGCCTAGTCAGCCTGAGGATGCAATCAAAATTGTTGCACGTGTGCTGCTTATCTTGATATAGATTGCATGTAGGCGCACGCTCTTGATTAGCGACATTTATATCTTCCATAATGTGTATTGTACAAACGGCAACGGTTTGTGGGCGACGGTCCGCAAAGTTCCTGGTGGTAAAAGGTATTGTAACACTTCTTTCTCTTTACGCTAGTTCTTTCCCGGGAAACAGTTAAGGTGTTCAGCAAGCCACTGCAAGTAAAAGTGTATTTACCATGCAGCCATGAAGTATATCAGCACATTTATGCCGGCAGTGCACCGGCCACTAGAACCACTCAGACAAGGCTGCTCAGGGCCCTTCTCTATCCTATAATCCCTTTAATCGGTGCAATGTGCGTACTTCCCAGCCCATTACACTAGCAAATCGCCTGCTCCACCTGGTAATGTAGCTCGCCAGGTAGACCCAAGTTCAATCGTAACAATGGCTTCCACTGCTGCGATTGCTTCCACAAAAATGGCTGGCAAAAAATGGCTTCCACACCAAAGTTGCGATTCGAAACCTAGCTTGAACGGCGGATGAGACCATCGACACAAAAAAGCGGGAACTGTACCGAAACCACACAGATGACGATTTAGGCAGCAGGCTCTCAGCTTAGACGAAACCCTTACCGGGTAGCTTTACGCGTGTCCCGGAGAGCACCTCAGCCAGGTCCGGCATTTGGCGAGGATGGCCGTACCTCCGGCGGCCACAGATGAAGGACTTCGCCTGGCACATAAAGCCTTAGACTCCCAAGGGTCCGCCTCCGGCCAATTGTCTTGATCAGCACCACTGATCACGCGCTGATCAGACCGACATTGATCATATCGACTGATTAAACTGGCACTGATCACGCGCTGATCAGACCGACATTGATCAGATCGACTATTAAACTGGCACTGATCACGCGCTGATAAGATTGACGGATCAGACCGACACTGATCACACACTGATCAGACCGACACTGATCAGATCGACTGATCAGACCGACACTGTTCATGCACTCATCAGAGTGACTGATCATACCGACACTGATCACGCACACAAAGCTGCTAGACGCCTGACTGCGCTGGACGTGGAGACGCCGCTGCGCCCGATGCACTGGA